CATTGTGCATTTAATATCGAACAATTTGGCCCTTTAACGCATATAATTTAAATGAATATTTTCGAAGATATTACAAATTTAAAATTCAGGGACATAGCGGTTCCGACGCTACCAGGCTTGGCGGCGCGTGCCTATTGTAATTGGGTATTAGAAGAATGTCATTGTGTATAAATACAAGCCTGAGAACAAAAACTATAGTCTACACTATACTTTACACCGAAGCGAAGCGAGGGCGGGCCACTAGTAAGTAATATATCCTATCCATAATCTTTCACGATATTGCTGAATTATGTTATCGAGATAAAGGGACTTTGAAAAAGAAATAGGAAATCTTTTATCCTGAAATTAAAACTTAAAGGCTTTACGAAACTGTACAACAAATTACCTAATCATGGACGAAGAATATGTGTCGCGTCGCTGTTATTACATTTTTATACTAAAAAGTAAAAGAAGAAAGGCGCACAATGTTTAGGATGTCCGTATTTCATACTTAATTGGGCTGTTCCGATTCCAAGATGCTAATTATAGAAGACAATAGATGACTACGCGGCAGTGCAGAGAACTGAGTGAATAATGCAGAAGAATCTTAGACGAAACGTGAACGAGGGCAGACACGAGTTAAAATTCTGAGGGTGAACTTACTCTCTATTTAGGTTTAGATGATCCAATTCGATAACTAAAGATACATCTTACAACGCTAAAAGAGTGTATGTCTTTACTTTAGATGGGTTCGTCCTATACTGTATGTGTTGGGGAGGGAAAGAAAAAGATTGCGCTAGCTGCGTGCTTTTGATGGTAAAAAGAAGGTCAATCAACAGGTCCGGCACTTTCTTCAACTGTTGATGGACTGGCAACGATTCGCTATTGTTTTCCGACAAATTATTTTATTCTAATAACAAAGTGTGTAAGTTGGCCCATTTATAATTAATAAATCACACGGATCCAAGGGTTAAAATCAAAGTAAAAATCCAAATATGGCATCGTGAAGACGCTGTAGGTAGTCAAATCATCAGTTTTAAAGAGAATACCCTATAAGCAGTTCAAATGGCTCATGTTAAAATTAAAACTAGTATCATTTTAAAATAATTTCGCTGAAAATAACATATTAAATAAAATTTAACAGGCCAGAGGGTATTATTTTAAATAAAACTTCAAACTTGTATTAATCCGAACGGGCGATAGAGTATTAACTTCTTTGTTTTCAAATATAACCACAAACTTTATAGTTTTCCAATAGTAAGCAGATTGATGAAAAAGCAGATTTAAAAATTTGCTACCTGAATCTCTCAGTCCACGCGGACGAAGTCACGGGCCAAAGCTAGTATCAAAATATATCGCACTTCCATCCCACATGGTTGCACTTTTACTGCTCTACCAAGTGACAACTCCACAAGTGATATATGGTATGAAATTACGTTATCCGTACAAAGACGTGTGTTTTATTAGTGCCTCTAATGTTGGCATATTGGGTGAAGTTACTTTTAGGCGATCCATCAAATGGCGGGTGATTTAGGATGATGGATCTGCATCCATGAACTTCTGCGAGGTCAGTAATAATTGATATATTTGATACTGCTGCCCCTGGCTGCTTAATATAGGTGTCTATTTGATGCCTGGCCAAAATCTTAATGGTTTGTGTTCAAATACTAAATCACCTAACATTATGTAACTACAAACACAATAAACAATACTACATAAACGGCCGTGTCCAGCTATTGGCGTTTATTTTCTGCTCGTCTCGTGAATCGTACGTAACCATCACAAGAGCTTCTAATGAGGACATCTCAGGACGCTTGAACTAGGGCGGAGTCAAGTGGTTGGCGGCAAGCTCGTTCCATTATACCCCTGGCCAGATAGGCCGATGAACTCTTGTATGTAGTATTCTTGAGGATAAATATTTATCTTTGTTATGCTATTTCATTAGGGAGTTCAATAGGGGACAAGATATAAGTCCTTGTGAGGGTAAGTTTACCTCTTTTTATATGTTCGTTTGTCGTTCACACACACATCGGAACAGACAGCTAAAAGGGGTATTCCTTTAATAGAAAATAAATAAAATTATTACAAAGGTATTTTGGCGGACAAAATGTTGGCAATTATCAGCAAAAAAGTCGGAAAGGGCTTTTAAGCACATACTTGCAGTAAGAGAAATACGTATTGACAGATAAGTTTATTTTAATCGAAAAGTGGAGCGTTATTTACAAATAGTCACAGGATGAAATCATAAACTATAAAAAAACTCACTAGTTAGCAATAAAGGGAATCATGAGGAAGCAAAGTGAGCATGACACAATTCCTTTAGGATGACGAATCCATTAGAAAGGAAGTAGCCAACGTTATGGTCGACTTGAACCTTACAACACATCCTGTTTTCGCCTACTCACCATGTAAACTATATGTAAGTATATGTATTTACAGGAATGGGTGTCAACAAACAGCGTCATATGATTAGAAAAAACTCTCAAAATGGTCATTATGCTATTCATTTTCCTAATCTGTAGCCGCCCATGGGATTGGACGGACTACCAAAGAAAGGCCTCCATTGAGTTGATGATACTTACTACTACTACTGTGTATTATGTTATATCTGAGTATAGTTAGAATGCGACTTTCAAATGCCAGAGTGAATAGGCTCCTTCTGGGTAAGCTCGCAACACCGTAGATTCCATCTCAGCTCTCGAGTCGGATAGAGGATAAAGAGCTTTTTACCATTAAGAAAATAAAAAAATGGATTGGATGTGGAAGTGTAAGGGCCAGTTCTAATTTTGACATAACTCACACAGAGTGGTAAAATACAGATTTCACAAACAGGAAAAGACACAAGCTGTAATCAGCCTTATGGGCATACAAATGTTAGATGAGTACTTCCAAGCAATCAAAGAACAAATAAAGCGGCCGCCATCATCAGTTCCAACGGAAAAAGCTACGTGTCGTCTAAAACCTGTAGTTCTGCATTACGAATGCGTGAAGCCCCGTTGGACACGATCGAACACATCCGACGCGGCCGCCCTGCATACAAAAATACAAACAAACGTGCATTGTCTATTGTGCCGACCGCTATGGAACACGCGCATCTTTGCTCCTTCGAGGGCTTGGAAGATACACGCTCCATCGTATAGGTCTTTATCATGATTAACTAATTTAGGTAGTTAACATTGATGTAGACTGAGACCATAGGGCGTCTTCAAGAAGAGGATGTGTTATTTTTATGCAAATAAGGTGGCAGATAAGCTTGGCCCACCTTATGGTACTCAACCACGATTGCCTTACCAGTGTACGACCTGAGTATCTCTTGCGGGGTTAGATCCCCTAAACCGTGGAGCCCTGGAACACAACACCACCAAAAGGTACTGTTATTTCACGTTGATCTTCGGTTAGTTGGATGGAGGTTAAATGCCTTAGCCTAGATGGACGCTTAAATTTAAGCGATAGTTTCACTATGCCCCTTCTATAAATCAGTTCGTTTATTATTTTAGGTTTAATTTGTAGTATTGACATTGACACTAACACTCAGCTGGCGGGGGCGGACACCCTGTAATAACGTACAACGACTAGAGGTGGTGGAAAAGATAATAAGTAACTTTGACGGCGACCTCTAAGCTGTCATTGGAAGTTTATTTTCTGTTATTGCTTCTGAGAACTCGGCTTTCTTAAGAAATAAAATGAAAAAACAAATATTCGTAGAGAAAAAAGTGTAATTAACTAATTGGAACGATTACTATTTAGGACAGATTTCTCATTGTATCAAAAAGCGTGATTAGTCAAGCAAAAATAAACTGTTTAGGTGTTTTTTTTAATTAACACTAAATTTCTGTTCGCAAAATCTTAATAATCTTAACCATAGGGCAACACGGCTTACACGATGATCCTAACCTATAAAGCTAATTTCAACAAAATATTTTTTCCTTTTTTAAGAAAATATTCCTCTACAATTAAGAAATCAAATATTTCAAATAATTTGTAAAACATAAACTATATTGTTCGATCAAGATTTGGAGAAGGGAAGGCACAAGGCACACAAAGCTAGATAAGAAGCTATACTTCTAAGGACCGTACGACTTGGACTTTTTTATTATTCTAGGATAAAATCTACCTACTTGGTAAATTATTACTTGATCAAAAGGAATATATATCCGTATGACGGAAATGCAGGTTGAAAAAAGCGAAGAAAACGCTACATAAATAAATAAATAAATTTAATGTAATTGTTAAGAAAGACCCGGAACATTCATACATTGTATTCTTCTGTTCATGGGAATGAAGTAAGTGTCTCATCATGTCCATTCTCTCCGTAATCCAAAAGGGTACTATACTACAAAACTAAACAAGACCACGGGACGAGTACAGAACGTGCCTAACATTATAAATAGGGTCTCACTGAGGACAGGTGAACGGTATCCATCTTGCCAGGATCGGATTACACCTGCTGTGAGGATTGATGGGACAATAAGATGTATTTGAAGTCTCAAGGTAATGCTAAGCACGTTGTGTTTTGTATTCTTCCAGTTTTCCACTTGTTTAGCCACTACAGTACCGCTGGTAAGATGAAAGTGTAATACAAGATTACGAAGTACACAAGGCGGCGGGTGCCCTTAGCAAAATTGTTATACATATTTCTAACTAAGAATAGGTGCTAAGATTTCTAAGAATCAACCTGATGATCTGATTATATATGCTTTAGATTACTTGAAGTTGCTTGAAGCCTTTCAGTTTTGGTGCAAAGATCCTGTTCATAAATATAGTTAATTCCTACAAAAAATTGGATTGTGGAAACTAAATTTTCTGTATTTCTCATACCTACGATCGAAGAAATAGTAACATTTAGAGTCCTTTAAAAACACTACCCTCACTCAGAACATGAATTAGAAGTGGGTAATAAATACGAAGATAAAGGAGAAAAGTTCAACAGAAGCGTCTGGCAAGAGGCTATCGCTAAGTATCAAAGACAGGTGTGCCGTATCGAATGTTGTCACGTTATCCGAATCGGACGGTGTACGCACCTGCTGTCTGTGTCTCGCGTGTGAAGTTATGGCCTCATCCTCCTGCGATCTGAAATAAAAGAAAACACAGTTACAATAACTTGTTTGGAAGGTGTTAAAAACTTAGTCACCTTGAGTTTACTCTGTGTATACGCCGATGTGTACTATTCGAGGTGTGACAATTTTAATTACTATGGCGGCTTTAACAACTACAGTTAAAACCGAATATAACAACTGGTCGATTATTACGACCAATTGGCAAGGTCCCGGCCGAAACCCTATATAAATCCTTAAGTAAACAAACCGCCTATAAAAACACCGGATATAGCGAAATACCGCTTAAAACGGCTTATAGTCGATGAATATCGATAAAATTAATATATCGATATTCATCTGCTATAATGACCAACCGTTTTACTTGTTCCAGCAAAACAAAATATACTGTAGGTATGTACTTCAATTTTTTTTATAGAAAACTTTTTTACTTCTCTTTTCGATATTTTATTTGAAAACAAGCTTATATTCATTATCTATAGCCATGCTACATACATACATGACAATAATATAAGTACTTGTGTATATTCCTTATAACAACTATCGGGCATAACGTCCGAAGTTATATCGTCCCTTCAACGTCGTTATATCTGGTTTCGACTGTACTAATATTTCAAATGCAAGAAAATGTTTCATAGGAGAGGGTTACAATTAAGAAGTTTATTTTTAATATTATACGAAACTATCTCTGTACTCATAATATGCATATAAAGAAAGAGACGGTTTAATTGTTATTATATTATTACCTTAATTGCCAACCAGTGCAGTAACTAATATTAAATCAATTAACAAGCTTTGTTGTATTGTGTTTGCAAGTTTTTACATAACTAAACAAATCTGAATATAGTGTCTTCTTTTAAGTAAAAGTAAATAGTAAGCCTATTGTTAAGGATCCTACGAGAGAAGATCTAATAATAAAGCATTGACCAAACAGAGACACACAAGTTTCTGTTTTCAAATAGATATGAACTGTATTTAAGATCATAACTCTGCCGAAATGACAACAAAGCGAAGCGACTTGAAAAAATGTTATCGCTTGCCTTTTTAACCGAGTTCAAAAAAGAAGGAGGTTCCGTTAAATAAAACTAGTTTTTACGGCTTAATGCACGAAACTTTATTTATTTATTGACGTTTCGTAGCCTTTACAGGCTACGTCGTCAGAATCAAACTTTTATTTAATTTGTCGAGCTACCTTCGAAAGACTTTTATTGAGCGTTCGGTTATTTCATTGTTCGATTTTTAAAGTTTTATTTTATTGTCTATGTATGAATTTATTATTTAATTTACTTAATAAAGTATTTTATTTAAAACTCTCACTCAAGAGAGGCTTTCTATCTCCTTCTTATGTTAAATTATGCAAACAAAAAGAACTAATAGTATCTGTTGGTCTTGCAGTGTGTGTCTGACGACGTAGCCTGTAACGGCTACGAAACGTCAATAAATAAATAAAGTTTCGCGCATTAACCCGTAAAAACTAGTTTTATTTAATGAGTGATGTGCGTGAAAACCTAAGAAACAAGTAGGAGGTTCCATGTTCGACTGTATGTTTTTTTTAATGTATGTTCACCGATTTCTCCGTCAATTGTGGATCGATTTTCAAAATTCTTTTTTTATTCGAAAGAGTGCACTTCCGAGGTGGTCCCATTGGAACCAAGTCAGGATCTGATTGTGGAATCCGGGGAAATCGAGGGAAACCTTCAAATTTGAAAGGCACGCACGATGTTTTTTTATGCATGTTCACCGTTTTCTCCGTCAATTGTGTTATTGTTTACTTGGACGACGTAATTATCACTAAAATGGATGAAATAAAAAAATTTAAAACATAAAATAAAACCGAATTCAGAATCGAAAATGGAACTAAAAAACCCTACAAACACGCAAAATATTTATTAAAAATACAATATTTACTACATAGTATGAATTTTTGCAACAGTAATGGATTACTGGATCAACATCTTCGCACGCGTCGTCTTACCCACTCCTTTGTTGTTCTTATTACATAACTTTGTTTTAATAATGCTATTATTTCACCAAAGTGAAAATATTAAAAGGACAACCAAATTGCGACTTAGCAAAGCAAAGGTGATAGATAGTTTAAATCTAAAGAAAATATTAATAGACTTGACTGACCGAGCGACTGAGCGAGACGGAATGGACCGAAGAATACTTTTTTAAGTAGGCTTCGGACTTAGGGGTCCGAATCGGGCCCACAGAATGAACACAGTTCAGTGGCCCGAATCTGGCATGGTCGGGTGGGTATTAATACGTCTTTCAGTCTTGACCCACCCGACTTCCAAATCATGAACCAGATATTATTTTTTAATTTTTAGTTCCATTTTCGATTTTAAGGTGGTTTATTTTTTGTTTAAATTTTGTTTGTTTGTACTTATATCGACTGCCTAGCGCGGAATGGCTTCACTAAGGGCAGAACCGCTAGGAGTTAAAATAAAGAGGAAGCAGGCGTAGCAGTCTAGCACATTGCTTTCCACTTATTGAGTACAGCAAGTCAGATCATGTATTTACGGGTGCATAATGTGGCATACATAAAGCATTTTTTCTCCCCGTTATCGAAACAAGGACATCACTATTAAAAGAAAGAATGTAATTAAGATACTTCTTAATTAAATAATGTACGTGACAGGCAAACATTATTTATCTCTATGAACATAATGAATCAGCTACCCATTGCGAGGAATTAGCAGGCAAGCCGTGCGCTCGAATCATTTGTAAGCACTAAGCGACTTGCGGAACCTAATTTTAATATTCATTACACAAGTATTAGCTAAAAATATTTAAATTTTCGGCGACGCTGACAGTTTTTCGGCGGAAGGAAACAGGGTTGGTACCGGAGGAAATAAAGCAATGTAAATAAGTATAAGACTTTACCGCTCTAAAAATGCAATCAGTTGTACGTTTTGATTGTAAGTGGGATTAATTTGTAATTGCCCATGTTTGTCAAATCTTTGTTCTCCACATATAGGACAAAGGTCTTATCTATGAATAAAAAATTCGAGGACAGGCGCCGCGCCGGAATTATTTGATTGGATCATTCACTCAAGTGGATACAAGGCTTTAGTGTCTTCCGATTCGGGAGTTGAGTGCCATGTCCTTACATGGTAGGTACTCAAGATTTCAGCAGATCCAAACTTCAAGATTTTAGCAGATCTCAACTTTGGCCAACTCTGGAACATTAAGTTACTGACAGGAGCAGACCTCTTTTGAAATATTTTATTATGTGAAAAAAACAGAATAGATTTTCGTCACTTGCCCGATTGTCGACATTTAGTGATTATAAGTTAATCACATTCCGATCGCTAAATTATAATAAACTTGTATATAAATTATTTTATGACAAAACCATAATCAGTCAGAGATGATATGCTGCATTTTCAATAAGCAAGAGAAAATAACAAACATTAAAAATACTTTTGACAGCCCTATTACAAACAGGAACGTACCGGTTTTGTCATATGATTCGATTATTATATCGATACAAGTCACATATTGGAATATGATTATCGTAACATTACGTTACTCCGCTCCTTTAATAAACTTAACAAAAAGGTTTTTGAACTTTTCCAACGACACGTGATACTAATTTAAATTTAAAATAACTGCGATCGGAAGTTGATTGTGTGACAGACGATAATTTTACGCAACGTTTAACACGTCAGGATTAAAATACCCAGGTAATTAGGTAAAAGGTTATTTCCATTTTTACTGTACAAAACGGTAGAAACGATTAGAACATTGATAGAAATTTTATTTATTTATTGTAACAACATAATCATAGATTTTCTACGTGATCTAATATTATCGAAACGGATTAAACATAATTGATCAATTACAATCGATAAATAATTACCGTAGAAAATGTTATGGGATTTTGATGTGTTGATGATTGGATTCGGCTATTAGGCATGGTGGCCTTTGTAAAACTTCACACGCTGAATCGACGAACATAATAATTAAATAAAACAATTATTTCTCATATCTCCAATACAATGATAGGATATTATTTTAAACTTTCATGGTCACTAACATTATAGTAATGTAAGTTATTTACGGGATTACCATGTACCTTGTTTTTAGCGAGTTACCGATATTTCTGCACTGTTGCAAGCGTCATGAAATATCGGAAACTCGCTAAAAAGAAGGTACATGGAAAAAATCCCGTAAACAACTTATATTACTATAATGATAGGTTTGATTTGAATATTATTATTTTTGTTAAAAGTGTAAGGTTGTGTTTTGAAATAGTAATAATAATAATTCCACGAATTTGAAGAAATATTTACGCACAACAACATACCGAAACTGTGTTTCTTTGTCTGAAAGTAAAATGTCATCTACATTTTACAACTGCTGGAATTTATAAATAGGTAGTTAATTTAGATTAATACGTGCCGCATCAAATTATCCTAACCGACCTAATGTTAAGTGTAAGTAGAGTCCATTTGTGAAGATTGCTGATGCGTCAGTGAATTGTGCTGCTCCAGCCATTCTCACATCACTTTGTCGCCCCGAGCCAACCAACAGAAACACAACACCATCAAAAGGTAGTTTTACTGTGGTCTTTTATAAGGTGGAGGTTTCACCCCAAGAGGCGCACCCTACTTCACTTAATAGTTTTTGTGTTTCCGGAATACCAGTTAATATATCGTCGAGCTTTAGATTGTAAACGTTTTACTATTTCTTTAATTACTTTGCTTTAGAATAAGTTGCTCAACCCATCAAGTTTAATAATATGGTTATCTTTACATTTGTTATCTCATTATACAGGCTAAATTAAACGACTTTAATGGTTAATTATTCATTTACATGAACTAATATGATAATTAATTTATTACTGTAATATTTGTTGAATAATTTTATTTAGTTTAAAATAAGTAAAAAGGTACTGAATTTGACTAATTCATGCGCTCGCGTGTTTCGCGCCACCTAGGATTGTATTGTTAGGGGTAACCGAGTGTTCAGCCGAACAATCCAGCGTGGAGCAGACATTCTTTGCACCGA